TTTAGGGTTTAGGGTATATATGTATATAATAAGGAAGCCCAGAATAGTATTGGGAATTATTTCGGCCTTGAAATCTGCCGAAGGGGCAGAGTCCGAGTCCCCGGATCCGCTGCATTGCAGGGGGCCTTTCTACCTGGCCTCTGGGGACCCGTTCGGAGGTGCTTGTTGAACAGAGATGCGAAGCCCCTGGCAACCCTAAACCCTAAACCCTAAACCCTAAACCGCTTCAGCTTGCCAGTGGCCTGGAGGCTGGGCTCGTTCAGGAAGCTTCTCGGCCATCTGCGCATTTCCAGGCATTCACGCAGCGGCGCCTTCGGACCCGGCACAAGACAGCTCTCTCGCCATGTGAAATGCTGCCCTGTCCTCCAAGAAGACGGCCAGTGAGGCGCCAGGAACCTTCACTAAACCCTAAAACCCTAAACCCTAAACCCAAAACCCTAAACCCTAAACCCTAAAACCCTAAAACCTATAACCCTATAACCCTAAACCCTAAACCCTAAACCCTAAACTCTCAGGCCAGGGCTGACCCGAATGGGCTTCTAAGAGACCTAGTGGACCTGGCTGGGGGCCGTCCCTAGGAAGGCACAACTTAAGAACTTTCTTCGCTTCCTTCAGACACGAAGGGTTTATTTAGGGTTTAGGGTTTAGGGTTTAGGGTTTAGAGTTTTAGGGTTTAGGGTTTAGGCTTTGAGATCTGCGATGCATAACACTGAGTCAAAGGCCTGGCAGACCACCTGCTTCAGGACCGTGACCCTGGCCGATGTCTCCTCTGTCGCACGGCGGTGAAAGGCCACCACAAGCCAGAATTGTACGACAAGAAAGGCACAGGAACAGATATCTTCAAGAAAAGGTTCACGGTGTACTTCAGGTTTTGGGTCTCAAGTCCCTTCTTTAAGGGTCCCTTCATGGCTCCTCTAGGACCTTCAAACGGGTCTCTGCTGCTTCTTCCCTAAACCCTAAACCCTAAACCCTAAACCCTAAACCCTAAACCCTAAACCCTAACTTGAGATCCCAGGATTCCCAGAGCCCTTCGCGGGCAGACGGGCCTGCGCAGAGACGGCGAGCTCCACCTTGGAAGGTCCAGGCTCAACGGATCGTCTCAAACAGAGTGCACATGCAAGGGTTTTTTTTGGTTTAGGGTTAAGGGTTTAGGGTTTAGAGTTTAGGGTTTGGGCTGTTTTGGGGTTTCTATGAAAACGACTTGCTTGGGGCTTTTGTTGGGGATTGAGGATTTGAGGTTTAAGGTCTCGGGTCGGGTTTGACTTGAAGTTTACGGTTTAGGCTTTACGGCGGTTTTAGGGTGACTGGCATTCAGCAGAACGGCGTAACGCTCCTCAAGCCAAGCAACCACACTGAGATTGGCTGTCGCAAGAACGCGGGCATCACGCCCGTCCTCTTAAAATAGGAATGCTCAGCAAAGCAGGTGATCCGTTCGACATAGCAAGTGTTCCTGGAAGATGTGATGC